TAATACCAGTTTCCAGGAAACATGGCGATAAAGACAAATTAAACTATCATTATTGGGATAGCTACAAATTTCAGATTATTTAGTGGGTTGAAAAGTGACTGGATAAGGTTTAACTGTCAAAATGTTAGTAAAATCAGACAAAAGAATCAGTATTCACAAATATATTAGGAAAATAGAAATCAATAAGAAAAAGACAACCCAAGAGAGGAAACCAGGATAAAAATACTTAATACATAGAAATATAAATGTGTAACCACATTACTGATCAGGGAAAACTAGATTAAGATACAACCCCCAGCAAGATTAGCCCACATCACAAAATCCCAGAGCACCAGATGCTGACATGGATGTAGAGAGAAGGGAACACTTCTATACTGCTGGTGGAATTGCAAACTAATACAACTTTTTTGGAGAGAACTATGGAGAATCCTCAAAGATCTAAAAGTAGACCTTACATTTGACCCTGCAATCCCATCACTAAGTATCTACCCAGAAGAACAAAAATCACTTCTCACAAAGACATTTGCACTAGAATGTTTATTGTGGCTCAATTAATAATTGCCAAGTCATAGAAGCAACCCAAGTGCCCATCAACCCATGAATGGATCAACAACCCATGGTATATGTATACCATGGAATATTATTTAAAAAGATGGAGACTTTACATCTTTTACATTTATCCGGATGAAGTTGAAATATATTTTTCTTAGTAAAGTATCTCAAGAATGGAAAAATATCCAGTGTACTCCATACTAATATGAAATCAATATATAAACAATTACATGCTCATAACAACAGTAGAACACTAATACAGTCCAGTTTGGTGGCAGAAGGAGGGAGAAGGAAATTTGGCAGAAAGAGGGCGGGCATGAGGCGGGATCTCACCTAATATGCACCTTATGAGGGTGTATATAAAGCCCCCTGAGTAAGGGGCTCTTCTACAAATGGAACTTTACCCTGGAAGTGAGAATGGTGTCACCTAAAAATTGTACCCTCATATTAACTTGATTTAATTAAACAATTTTTAAAAATTTTAAAATATAAAAAACTTTATTTAAAAAAAAAAAGGAAAATTGGATTGGTGCCTATAGCTCAGTGGTTAGGGCACTGGCCACATATACCAGGGCTGACAGGTTTGAACCCAGCCCTGACCTACTAAACAACAATGACAACTACAAAAAAAAAAAAAAAATAGCCAATTATTGTGGCAGGTGCCTGTAGTCCCAAATACTTGGGAGGCTGAGGCAAGAGAATAGCATAAGCCCAAGAGTTAGAGGTTGCTGTGAGCTGTGATACCACAGCACTCTACTGAGAGTGACAAGGTGAGACTTTGCCTCAAAAAAAAAAAAAATTAAGACACAAGGAGATAACATTTTATACTCAAAGACTGGCAAAACTTAAGATTGATAATACCAAGCATTAGCAAAAACATGCATCAGCAAAAACTATCAAATAAAATAAATTGTGATACAATTAAGTACAAATAAATTCTCAATTTAAAGAATTGTAGCTGCATTTAATGGCATAGATAAGTCTTAGAAACAAAATGAAACAAAGCAACCACCGAAGACCCTATGTATAAAAATTTCACATGGTTATAAACCACTGAGTGTGTACAAAACACTTTTCTAACTTTACAAATAGTTAATCTACATATACACTAAAATAAGATTTTTAATGCTCAAAAATGGAAGTAAATAATAAATTGTATAGATATTTGGAGAAAAACAGGAGAATACTCCTAAAATTCAGAATAGTGGTTGCTTCTGGCCAGGAAATAGGGAAGGACCATATATAGGTAGGCTCAACAGTATTGATGTTGCAGTTCTTTTTTTTAATTAACATTTTTATTTACCCCAATATATTGCAAATATTAACATGTAACCAATATAAGTTATTAATGAGATGTTTTACATAATTTTTTCATGCTAACTCTTCAAAATTTGTCTAGTTTTTACTTAAACACTTCTCAATTCAGAATAAACACATTGGAAATACTCAGTAATCGTGTGGCAAATGGATCTCATATGGGACAGCACAGTTATAGGGAGTGACTGTTAGCTCTTCAACAATAAGATGGCAAAATGGGAAGAATTGGCATATTATAGTGCCCAGCTGAAATCCTACTTCTTTCTTAAAGTCTTCTCTGATCCCAGCAGCAGAGAATGACCTTTTTTTACATAGAATTTTCGTAAAGCTTCTCTTTAACCTTTTCTGTGTACTTTGGACATATCTTTTATCACTGTTATCATTGCACACTGTTATCAGTGGCTTAAAGAACACTGTTAAAATTTCCTAGGGTCCCTGTGCCGTTTCACTGAGGAATCTTCGCTCTCCTTAGGGATGCTCTAATTCTTTGACTTGTCTTTCACAAATGTTTATCATATTGTTTGATAACGGCTATTGTGTGTGTTGATGATTTTTTAAAAAGCTGAAATCATGATTCTCACACAAAAAATGATTACATGTCTTGTATCCTCCATGAATCCCCAACAATAAAAAAGAAAATGATTACATGTCAGAAATTTTACTTAAATCATTAAATTTGTAAAGGAGTTAGAAAGATCCATTTCAAGGGAAAATTCAGAGTAACACAATATATAGGCAATTAGGAATGCTGAAATAAATTTACAAATAGTTGCAAAATTGGTCAACAGTAACTAAGCAATAATCAGTTACATACATCCCACTGAACCTAGGTCATTGGCAGTTTTATGGACAAGAATTTATGTTATTACCAGGTTACAAGAACTTAAAGCAGTTATAAAGTAAAATAGCTCACAACAGCCAAAGGCACTGGAGAAAAGATACCTAAGTAATCTTTCTGACCCGTTACAAAATCTTCCAGTTTTTCCTGACACATGTAAACTTTTATATGGATCACATATTACACTAAAAATTAGAAGGAAGGATAAAAAAGCATACTGTTCTGTGTTTCTCTTTCCAGGTGTTGAAGGGAGAAAGACAGGGTCTTATCTTGAAAAGGAGATCAGATTTGAGGGAAAGGTTACTTGGATTTTGTTTTCCTAACTAGGGAATATTAAAATGGGTATATTGGTTCTGTGAAAGGAGCTGGTGGAGATGAGTGATAGTAGGGGTTAATAGTAGGTATTTGGAAGGAGGCAGTACCAGTTACATACAGAATCACAGTTCAGATTTGGGGAACAGAGAGAATTCTTCCTTGAGATTGGGGGAGATAGGAAGGACCTAGGCTGTAGATTCACTTGGAATCAGAAAAAGTCGAGATTCTCTAAAGAAAAAAAGTATTTATGATAGGTGGCTTAAAGAGCACTGTTAAAATTTCCTGAGTAGAAAATGAAGGATATGAGGAAAAGATTGCCATGCCAACCTTTTATATTGTATTAAATACCTATTATCAAAACATTGCGAAGGGCTTTCTTTTTCTTAGAATATGAGAAAGAGCAACTGTCTTTAAATGAGTTGATGTCTTCTATCAGATAAGGTATAAATAAGAGAAAATTGAAGTAACTAAAGAAATTATGAAGTCATAAAAGTTAATGAGTGAATGTTATCTCTAATGTTTCAGTTTTTAATAGAATGTAATATTTTTTTAAAAACCTAGGCTCCAGTGAAGCCTCTACAATACAGCTGTCAGTGCCTAACAGGTTGCACGAGATTAGGTCCTTTCAGTCAGGTTCTTCATACATAAAAAGACGAGACAGTTTCTAAATTCCTTTCTTGGAAACTGAGAAAACTACAGAATAGTTGACAGTGAACTGAATATATAGGCTATAAGATTTGGATGGGCAGAGATAAGTCTACTAAACAGTCAAGGTAGAGTAAAATGGAATGAATAAAAATACAGAGCTTGCTTGGAAGGCAGTAGACGTCATTTTGGTTGCATTTACCCTGAGAGTTTATGAACATGGAGTAATGAGGTAAGAATAGGAAAATGTCTGCTTTTTTCTCTCCAACTTTAGTTACCTTAAACATTTTATATGTGCATAGTAAACTCTCAAGAAATTTTTTTTTCAGGAAATATTTTAAACTGTCCATGCTGAGGTCTAGCCACAGCCGTTACTTAACAGGAATGCTATTTTTATTGGTACCAAGAATGTGTAGGGAGGAGATAGGAAAGAGTTAACTTCAGTTTGTAGTCCAGAAATCCGTTTGTTGATCTTTAAAACATAAGACATTTCTACCGGTTTGAGACAATTTTCAAAGTAATTAAGACTCAAATGACAATAGTTTATCAACTCAAAGCAAGGGGGTTATAAACTAAAATAGCTTCCCCATTCTGCACTGGCTAGGTTGGCTAAGTTAACTCCTTCAAGCTGTAACCCAACCTGGAAAATAGATACTGGATTGATCTATAGATTTACTTTTTTTTGAGACAGGGTCTCATGTTGCCCTCAGTAGAGTGCTGTGGTGTCACAGTTCACAGCAACCTCTCTAACTCTTCAGACTTAAGCGATTCTCTTGCCTCAGCCTCCCAAGTAGCTGGAATTACAGACACCCACCACAAAAATGCCCAGCTATTTTTTAGTTGTAGTTGTCATTGTTGTTTGGCAGGCCCGGGCTGGGTTCAAACCCACCAGCTCCCATGTATGTGGCTGGCACCCTAGCCACTGAGCTGTAGGTGCCAAGCCTGTTCTATATATTTAAAAACTGAAGTTGAGAGTTGAAAATAACTGTCTGAATTTTGCAACGAGTTAGAGGCAGAGCCAGTTCAAAGGCTCAGCTTCTTTCCATTAAGTCCCATATGTGTTGGAGTTTCTAACTCCAGCCTCAAATCATACTTGAAAATGGTGTCATATGAAAACAGTTAAAAAAATCATAGTTGCATGTCTGACCCCAACTCTGCAGAAATCTAGGCCCCAGTTGTCATATTTTAACAAGGCTTAAAACATTAGTGTATTAATAATAACATTCTAAATATGGCACATATTAGAATATATCTATAAATGAGCTTTTTCCAACCTTTGTCACTTTTGCAAACTACAAGTAAGAAAACATTCATTTATCTAATTTTGTTTCAGGTATCTATCTGTCAGATTTAACATACATTGACTCAGCATACCCATCAACTGGCAGCATTCTAGAAAATGAGCAAAGATCAAATTTAATGAATAACATCCTTCGAATAATTTCTGATTTACAGCAGTCCTGTGAATATGGTAAGTTGGGGGGGGGATAATGCTAGGTCATTAGCATGCTGTGATTCCGATGACTTATTTACATGTTGACCATTTTTCACGAACATCAATTTCTTTTTTTTTTCTTTTCCTTTTCTTTCTGTGTTTCTTTGTCTGTCTGTCTTTTTTTTTTTTTTTTTCTAACTTCCCTTCCTTCTCTTCCTCCCCTTTCTTACTTTTGAGACAGGGGGTTACTCTGTTGCCCAAGTGGAGTACAGTAGCACAATCATAGCTCACTGTAATCTGAAACTCCTGGGCTCAAGCATTCCTCCTCTCCTCCTGGCTGGGACTAGAGGTGCGTGCCACCACACCCAGCTAATTTTTGTTTGGGGGTTTTTCCGCAGAGGCAAGGTGTTGTTCAAGCTGGTCCCTAACTCCTGGCCTCAAGCTGTCTTCCCACCTTAACCTCCCAAAGTGCCAGGCTTTAGCCACCACACTGTACCCATCAACTTCTTATTTCCATCCTAAATAAAGGGAAATAATGGTTATTTTATTTCAACATTTACTGGTTAGCATCTTGGTTAAGATCTTGCTTTTAAGGAATTTTGGAGCATTTAATATTTAAAATTTTCATTTTTATCTTTTGCTCCTTGTAATTCTATAGCCACTGCTCACAGAGCACAGGGCAATATATTTTACTATTACCATCTCATAGTTACTGGTTTACGAAATTGTTATAATGTACATAGTTTTTACATTTTTGAATTAGAGAAGTAGCTGAGACCCTTGAGTCTAGTGACAATTAACTAGCTTTCTTGAGTCAGATATTGAGTAAATAATCAATGTATATTATGAAATGAGATATATAGAAAGAGCTAAGTAAGCCCAAATGATTAGAAAAAGGAAAGTTTTAAAATATTTAAATGATTTAAATATTTTTAAACTCTCTCTTTCGGTTTGATGGGGAATACAGTTAGACTATTAATATGTAATTGTTATGGTGTTAAAATAAAGTCAGTTTCACATTCTCTGATTTATTTCAAGCAAATTTGTCTTCAAGCTAACTTTTACCTGCCTGTGTCTGTGCCTTTAAGGAAACCTCAAAAACTTCCTAACAGTGTGTGTGGAGATAGAATCTTACTGAAAGATAAATCAAATAATCTCCTATTCTGTCCTTTTCTCAATTTTTTAATATAACAAATTTAGTGTTAAATTAATGTTTAAAATTTAGTAGGAAGGGAGGAGAAAAACCATTATTTATCAATGGGAGCCAAATTTCTTTAAAAGAAAAATAACTGTCTTCAGACCTTTTGTTTGGTTGACATTTGAATATAAATCACAGTGAAGTTCCTGATTTTTTTCCTATGAAATTTGTCAGTTATGCAGTACTTTGTAATTGGAGCTGTTAAAAAAAAATTATACAAATAGTATATAAATGTGATTTTCTAAATTACCTTCAGTTTTCACATTAAAGCTTAACTCAGTAATGTCCTAGTAGAATTTTGGTGCCATATGGCCTTAATTTACCTTTAAATTATTTTTCTAAATTTTTAAAGTTCTGGTTACAACGTACTTTATTGGATAATTATTATCACCTTTTGCCTAGATATCCCCATGTTGCCTCATGTCCAAAAATATCTGAACTCCGTTCAGTATATAGAAGAGCTACAAAAGTTTGTGGAAGACGATAATTACAAGTAGGTTGGATCTTCAAAAGTGGTTTGTATAACTTTGGCCTATCCTCTACCTTCCATCCCCATGTATTTAAACATCCAAATTCTACATAGTATCATAAAAGTGCCTATTCCAGTGGTACGTTTACAGTCGTAAAAATACTTAGCATGTATTTCTTTTTAATCACTTGATATGATTGAGCCAATGTACAAATACCTCATCTGTTCTTTTATTAAAAAGTATTTTGTTGGGCAGTGCCTGTGGCTCAGTGAGTAGGGCTCTGGCCCCACATACTGAGGGTGGTAGGTTCAACCCCGGCCCAGCCAAACTACAACAAAAAAATAGCCAGGTGTTGTGGCGGGCACCTATAGTCCCAGCTACTCAGGAGGCTGAGGCAAGAGAATCACCGAAGCCCAAGAGCTGGAGGTTGCTGTGAGCTGTGATGCTACGGTACTCTACTGAGGGTGACAAAGTGAGACTCTGTCTCTAGTTGTAAAGAGCTAATAATATATGATAGTTCTAGTTTAAATTTGTTCCTTTCTCCCTATATTCAATCATTAAATGTTTATGGAAATTTATCTTTTAAATAGAAAAATTATTGAAACAGACTAAAAAATTGAAAAATTAGTTCTTTTTTAATGCTGATTTTTTGACACATCTTGAGCCCTTTTTTTGGCTTGTTTTTGTTCTTTTTATAGACTAAGAGAATATTGAACCTTCTTTTCTCCAAGTAAGAGACATTTCTCCAATTAGAACTGCATTTATTATTCTCCCTAATTGTAGCAAGTCCTGTATTAAATATTTTTTAAATCACTTTTAAAATAATTTGATACCCATTTCTTTCTCCTTACACCCATAGTCCGGCCCAAAGGTGGTGGCAGGGGGTTTAATTACTGACCCCTTTCATCTTTCAGTGATACGGTTACATCATAACTATTGGTTATTTCAAAAGGTGGGATGATAAGGAGCTTATCTTCAGGCGTCTCGTTTCTCTTATAGTTCCATTTCTTAATTTTAAAAAGTTTTCTTAGCTTTATTATGCCAGTTATTCCCATGTTTTCAAATTGAATTTTGTGTTTTCACAAATTTTTTTTTCAATAAAAGGTCTGTGAAAGACTAGATAATTTTCCAATATCAATACATTATTTAAAAAATTTTTAGCCACTTTGGTAGTGATTATGAATGTGCTTATTCCATAGGTTTCAACATTTTTTTTTAAATATCCTGCAGGACAGAATTGGTCCCAACAAAATGCTAGAAATTATGGAAAACAACTAGAAATAATTTTTTTTCAAATACTGAATGTATAAGAAGTTCTGGATATATACTTAAATGTATATAATTTTTTTTTTTTTTTTTGAGACAAAGTCTCAATTTGGCGCACTTGGTAGAGTGCGGTGATAGATCACCGCAACCTCAAACGCTATGCTGTGGGTGCCCGGCCGAAACTTACTTGAGCTTGAGAGATTCTCTTGCCTCAGCCTCCCAAGTAGCTGGGACTACAGGCACCCACCACAATGCCCAGCTATTTTTTGGAGACAGGGTCTCACTCTTGCTCAGGAGATCCACACACCTCAGCCTCCCAGAGTGCTAGGATTACAGATGTATCTAAATTTTTACTAATGTTTGAAAACACTTTTATCTTCTCCCCAATACAATAATATTAACCCTTTGTGCATCAATTTTTATTTTACAAAATCTTTTTTCACTCTAACTCATTTGAAAATGTGTGAGGTCAGTGGATAGGCCTTTTAGCTTGGTTTCACAAGTCTATTACCCTAGTAGTTTCTCAAGTTTACCAATAGTGGTAAATATTGACCACTATTTTTCCATCTCCCTAGTTACTGATGTAGAACTGATACCTAATAAACACTTTAGTTTTGTCCAGGGAGGTATAGCACAGGTAACTTAAAACTCAGAATATGCATAAATAGCTTTTACAGATTTCTTTATCTGGCTCAAGAAACTTTCTTTTTTTTTTTTTTTTTTTTTTGAGACAGAGTCTCACTATGTCGCCCTCAGTAGAGTGCTGTGATGTCACAGTTCACAGCAAGCTCAAACTCCTGGGCTTAAGCTATTCTCTTGCTTCAGCCTCCCAAGTCGCTGGGACTACAAGCACTCACCACAATCCCCGGCTATTTTTTGTTGCAGTTGTCATTGTCGTTTAGCTGGCCCAGGCTGATTTCGAACCCACTAGCCTTGGTGTGTGTGGCTGGAGCCAAAACCACTATGCTGTGGGTGCCAAGCCGAAATTTACTGAATTTAAGACAAGTTAAAGTTTAAAAGGTAGAAGCAAAGTCTAAGGAAATTTTGCATAATTATAATGGGTGGTAAATTTTTAAACTAATTACCATAAAAATTTAATATGTTTGTTGAATCTGATCACTTTGTGAAAGAATACACTTGAAAACATTAGGGTTTTTTTTTTTCATGTACTAATAAATTGGAACTAGAAAACATGAGTTTTAATGCTCCATAAACTGACATAGTACATGATACCTTCATTTTTATAGAAAAGGTGTTATTGTTATATTGATTTTTGTTTTCATGAGTGGCTAGAATGAAAGCAGCCTTTGGGGAACTACAAAGTCACTTGGTGTTTTGAGGACATCATGTGGGAGACTTGGAGAAGATAGACCGTATTGTATGAGCCTTCAAATTAAACGTTGAAAATTAGGGCATTTTAAGATGTCATTAAAATCATTTAAAATTATGTTACATTTTGCTGGAATAATTTTTTTATGATGAAAAAATTTTAAATAGAAATAAATGACACTTCACTTATCAAAAGGCCTCTGTTTTTAGCAATTTCATCCATATAGCCAACTAGTATAGATATTACAAATTGTGTGTATGTCTTTTTTTTTTTAATTGTTGGAGATTCATTGAGGGTACAAGAAACCACGTTACACTGATTGCATTTGTTAGGTAAAGACCCTCTGTGTATATGTCTTTTAATCAGGATGAAAATCTAAAGTTATTTTAACAATGACCATATCTTTTCTCACAGCTGACAATTCAGACTAGCCTTTACTGCCGTGCTTTTTGAGATGCCTCTGCTTTTTATAGTGGTGTTCCTTTCTATTTTGGTGTGTTAGGAAATTGCAGTTATTTTGTGTGCTTCTTTTCTCTCACTAGTCTGTAAGCTTAAGAGCAGGGCCACCATGTCTGCCTTAGTCTGTTATATTCAGTTCTGAGCACAGTGCCCAACACAAATACTTACTGAATATGAATGAATGCCGTACACTCTGTAGCCTAATTAAACTTCTCTATAGAAAGAACAGAGTGTTCTGGTTAGTCACGCATCTGTTTAATACACGAATTTTCGTTGTCAAATAATTGAAATATAATTGTTTAATTCCCTCTTAAGTTATCAAAGAAATAATAATTTGAGCACCTACAATAGATTAGTTTATCATTATGAACACCACTTGTGTTGTGTAATTTCACTAAAAATTGCAGTTGGTAGAATGCTGAATAGTTTTTATCTTCAGACAAAGTCTTAGCAATATTAGGTTTCATGTATTATAGCAAAGCATTTTCTACAACTACTTTAGTATCCTATTTCCTGCAATAGCTTTCACTGATAGGAATCATAATTTTTTGCTGTAGAACTCAAAATTCAGTATATTATTGTAAATGGAACTTGAGTACTAACTAATAAATTTTGACTTCAGACAAGGATTTACTAGGAATTTTGCTAACAACCTTTTTGTTTTTATTGATCTTTCTCTGAAGAGTTGTGTTAGTTGGCTTGTTAGATGCAGTTTTCAGTAAGGTATTTTTTGAAATTTTCATTGTTGTACTCAAACCAATAGCATATTCAGTAAAGATTCCAGAAGTAATTTGTGTAATATATTTAATACTATATGTGAAAGTTCCTGAATTTAAATGTTAGGTATCAATATAAACTCAAGTTAAATCATCTTTTAATCATTCATCAACTATCTTTAAATGTGTTGAATTGTTTGACAACTTTGCGGTAGTTGAGGAAATTATTAGTTTTTATTTATTTTAAATTTTTTAAAAGACCAGGTCTCACTCTGTCTCCTAGGCTGGGATGCATTGGCACAGTCACTACAGCCTCAACTCCTGGGCTCAAGCAGAAGCTTGCCTTAGTCTCCAGGATAGCTGAGTCTACAAGTGTGAGCCACTACACGCAGCTAATTTTTTTATTCTTTTAGAAATGGGGTCTCACTATGTTGCCCAGGCAGGTCTTGAACTTCTGGCCTCAAACAATCTTCCCACCTCCATTTACTGAGTCACTGGGAATAGAGGTGTGAGCAGCCATGCCAGATTCAAAATTCTTTTGATGGCAGGATCTCACTCTGTTGCCAGGTCTAGACTGCAATGGCATCATAGCTTACTACAACCTCAAACTCCTGGGCTCGAGCAATTCTCCTGCAATAGCCTCCCAAGTGCTAGGACAACAGGTGCATGCCACCATATGTGGCTGATTTTTTTATTTTTTGTAGAAATATGGGTCTTGCTCTTACTCAGGCTGGTCTTAAATTCCTGGCCTCAAGCAGTCCTCCAGTCTTGGCCTCCCAAAATACTAAGATTATAGGCATGAGCCACCAAGGTTATTTTTAAATAACCTTGTTTTGGTATAAAAGTTGTTTTATATTTTTAAATAAACTTGTTTTGGTATAAAAAGTTGTTTTTTTTATTATGGCATTAGGCAAAATGAATAAATTTTTATTCAAGAAATTTCACATGTGATTTGCCTTCTGCTGTCTCAAGCTGGAGTCACTGAAGGTTTACCTTCAAGCCAGCCCTTTTTAATTGCACAGATCCTCAATCCACAGTTGTCCTGTTAGCCCTATGTAATAACATACAAGTAAATATTTCCATAGATGATCACATAAAACAAGCCTCCCTTAGCTCCAAAAACCACGTACTTATTAGCTATCCAGAAGAGTTACAATAAAATTAGCTAGAAATATCTCTTCTGTGAGGCATAAGAGACCCAGGCATGCACTGTTCCTGCTGTAAAATCTATTAGACAATCACAATTCCTTGCTTTGTATTGCCACTTAGACAGTACTCACACATAGGCAATGAAGATCAGAAAACTATCGTCTAATAAAGGGTTAATAAAATGTCCCCAGTAAGCTGAATGTCAACGAAGTAGCAGATAGAAAACCTAGTGGAAGTATTTTTGTTTTGTGGTCATGTCCACAGCAATTGAGAAACTGCATTCTCAAAGCATTGGTAATGACCATTTAAAATAACAACTTTTTAATATATGTTCCTCCATAATATTTCCTAGAAAAACCATAAGATCTGCTTTGTATGAAAAAGGTAGAAGACTTACATCATAAAGATTGCTCTTGAAGAAAAATATATAGCTTATTCTATTAAAATGTTTAGTTTTTTGTGAGAAAATATACGATGTCAATATTATTTTGTCAAATATTAGTCATTTTATGTGTTCTGTCTTTTTAAAATTCAGGCTTTCATTAAAGATAGAACCAGGGACGAGCACACCACGTTCTGCTGCTTCCAGGGAAGACTTAGTAGGTTAGTGCATTAGTTGTTTCTTGTTACCAAATAATAAATCAGATAAAGTAAATAAAAATCTTTATTTTGTTATTAAAATCTGTCAGTACTTTCTAGGGATCTTTTTTGTTTTTTAATTAAAAGGTTTATCAGTAAAATGTACAAACAAATACGCTATCTAATCAAGGAAAATAGGTCGAGCAGATGGAAAGTAAGATGTAAGTGTTTGTGAATAGTCTATTCATTTTTTAAAATGAGATGCACTGGTTGAGGCAATGAGAGCTGATTACACTAGAAATTTCTGTGATGTAAATGGTAAATTCTGCTAATTTTATTAATAATTATAGAAGTCAGTTTTAGTGACTTAATTTTTTTAAAGTTTACATTAATACTGAGCCAGGCACTAAAAATATAAAAATCATCATCTCTTACTTGTGGCATTATAATGGGGATATTGAATATATATTACAAATAATCAGGAAAAACATAAAATTGAAGAGAATCACTCATCATTTAAGAAATCATTAATAAGTACCTTTTTAAAAATTTCCAGTACAGACATTTGCACTAAGCTTCATATTGTATACTCTAAAAATTATTTGAAGACTTACAGTATCTAATAAGATGTGAAGTAGTTTGCAGCAATTAAGAATCAGTAAAAGCAAAAAAAAGGAAAAGGTGTGAAGGAGCAAACCAAGACCGTATCTGTGGAGAAGAACATTCCAGTCAGAAAAAAATTCCAGTTTAAATCTCTTAAATTTGCTGTTCTTTTCATTATTAAAGCAATATTTTACAAGTCTGTGTACGTGTCACTTCTATATTTTATTCCCATAAGCTTGAAGAGTGTCAGTGTAGATACAGATTAATTTCTAACTTTAGTTCTTGGTTCTTTATCTAATAAATTTAAATTGAAACTTAAATTTAAAAAGCAGTGCATAAAATTTAAGAAGCATTAAAACTACATCTTAAAAGACCTAGGTCCAGATTTGTCTCTGATGGGAGATCCTGAGTCAATCTCTTCTAATCCTATTTCTTCCCATGTAAATGGGGAAAATATTTACACTGCCTCTACTAAATACAAATAAGATAGATAGAAATTAGTGGATTTTGTATGGTTTGGGATTTTGTGTTTTAGGGCTCAGAAAACAAGTATTTCTCATCTTCAAGTCGATTAAATAGGTATAACATTAATATTATTATCTTAAAATTTAAACCACATTGAATATTTTATATCAAGGAATTAAAAATAAAATAATCCTTTGAAACCACTAGAAAAATTTTCTCTTTCTCTCTCTTTAATTTAACCCCAGGTCCTGAAGTAGGCGCATCACCACAAAGTGGGAGAAAAAGCATGGCAGCTGAAGGAGGCTTGCTACCACAGACACCCCCCTCCCCGCGGAACCTGATTCCACATGGACATCGGAAGTGCCACAGCTTGGGTTATAAGTCAGCATCTTTATCTTTCAAATGCTTAAAGTTGTTTGTAGTTGGATGTATTGTGTATTTGCTTTACTAATTAAATAGAAAATAGTGTCCTTGCATAATCTTTTTTTAAAATAACAGCCTTTTTCCTCATTGGTAAAACATCTTGTTTGCCGAAAAGCATTTATTTCTTCCTTTTCATAAATTCTAAATTACCTGAAAAAAGCTTTCCTCAATAATGTATTCATATTTGGGAAAGATACTTGTTAAATTATAACTTTTATATTCAGACAATCATTGTCTTTTTTTTTAGAGACAAAGTCTCACTTTATCGGCCTCAGTAGAGTGCTGTGACATCACAGCTCACAGAAACCTCCAGCTCTTGGGCTTAGGTGATTCTCTTGCCTTAGCCTCTCAAGTAGCTGGGACTACAGGTGCCCACTGCAACACCCAGCTATTGTTTTGTTACAATTTGGCCGGGGCTGGGTTCAAACCTGCCACCCTTGGTATATGGGGCCAGCACCCTACTCACTGAGCCACAGGCACTGCCTAAGACAATCATTGTCTTAACTAAAATAAGTCATAAATGAAGATCTATAAAAATTTTTCTCTTTTTTCCTAAATATAATGAAAGAGAAACTCATTTTTTGTTTGTTTAACTTCTTTGGTTTTACAGTACTGTTTTTTCAGAAAAAGGATCCATGTTCACTTTTGCCATTATCTTTATTACATTTTCATAAAGATGCCTGTTGCTTAAGCAGTTAAGGTGCCAACCACATACACCAGAGCTGGCAGGTTCAAATCCAGCCGGGGACTGCCAAACAACAGTGACAACTCCAACCAAAAAATAGCCAGGCATTGTGGCGGGCACCTGTAGTCCCAGCTACTTGGGAGGCTGAGACAGAGAATCACTTAAGCCCAAGAGTCTGCAGTTGCTATGAGCTGTGATGCCACAGCACTCTAACAAGGGTGACATAGTGAGACACTATCTCAAGAAAAGTTAATAACTGTTCTCCAAAAAGTGATATGAAAACAATTTTTTAATGAAATTAAAGTATGCTCTAGTTTCATGGGTAGATGAGGCCAGGTTTCCTGAAACATTTTCCCTGTTAGTTTGAGGCTTTCATGGTAGCATTTGTATGTTCTTCAGTGTGAGAGTTCAGAAATAAGTTCAGGATAGCAGGTGCATCTTTTGTGTCCTAAATTTTTATGAAAGACTATCTTTTATATCCTGAATTCGTAACAATAATAAAAGATGTGAAAAATGTTTCTCTTTGTTTCCAGTTTCATTCATAAAATGAACACGACAGAGTTTAAGAGTGCAACATTCCCAAATGCAGGGCCAAGACATCTGTTAGATGATAGCGTCATGGAGCCCCATGCACCGTCTCGAGGCCAAGCTGAAAGTTCTACTCTTTCCAGTGGAATATCAATAGGTGAGAAATAGTTCTCTGAAAGGGTTCCAACTTAACATACAATGAAAATTTTAACAAAACTCACCTAGACAAACATCTTTAACCCTACCATACATAGAGAAAATTTGGTTTAAAAAAAAGTAGCAATTACATATAGGATGAAGTTAATAATTCATGATGGTTTTTAAAGTGCTTAATGTTTTTGACTCCCAAATGGGAGGCACTGGAAGAATAGTAGGAAAAGAATATGAGCCGGTTGCATTATTAACTGCATTCAGTTTGGATATAGGAATAAGGAAAAGGGTATAGTCAAGTATGACTCCAGGTTATTTGGATTAAACAGCTAGTTAGATGATAGTGCTGTTACCAAGGTAGAGAAGACATTGAAGTGTTTGTGAAGAGTGACTGAGTTTGGGGAATCAAGAGTTCTGTCTCTGACATGCTTAGAGTCCATGGGGCTGTCAGGCAGATTGTGAATGAATGAATCTGGAGCTCAGTGCGGTATAGTCAGATAGGAAGAGCCAGATAGGAACTAGGGAGAGGATGTAAAAAATAAGAGAACTTTGTCATATTTAGAGGTTTGACTAAATTATTGGTTTTAAAAAAAGATGGGCCATCAAAGGCAACTATAAAGGAGAGGTCAATGAAGTAGGGGACAGAAACAGAATGTGGTATTACAGGAGCCTGGTAGAGTAGACAGAGTGTCTCCAGGAAGAAGAAAGTGCTGAATCGATCAATATCAAATGCAAAAAAGAGAAATAAGGTGAGTACGGGAAATTGATCAGGGGATTTGGCAAGATAAAAGTCACTGGGGACTTTGACAAGGGTTGTTGCATAGAATGGTGAAGGCAAAGCCCTAACAACTGGAGTAGATTTCACAGTGAGGGGTGAGACCGCAGTCTTAAATAGCACACCAACTTTATGGACTCCCTGTACAAAGATAGCTGCTATAAAGAAGAGCATAAAATTGGGGCCACACTAAAAAGGGATGTGAGGCTCAGCGCCTGTGGCACAAGTGGCTAAGGCGCCAGCCACATACACCTAAGGTGGCAGGTTCGAATCCAGCCCAGGCCCGCCAAATGACAATGATGGCTACAACCAAAAAGAAAAAAATAGCCAGGCGTTGTGACGGGCGCCTGTGGTCCCAGCTACTTGGGAGGCAGAGGCAGGAGACTCGCTTGAGCCCAGGAGTTGGAGGTTGCTGTGAGCAGTGTGATTCCACAGCATTCTACTGAGGGTGATAAAGTGAGACTCTGTGCGCTGTGATGCCACAGCACTCTACCCAAGGGGACAGCTTGAAGCTCTGTCTCAAAAAAAAAAAAGGGATGTGAAATTACGGGTAATTTATTTTTACTTCCTGAAGGTAAATTTATTTTTACTTCCTGAAGGTAAATTTATTTTTACTTCCTGAAGTTGTATTTATTTTCTGAATCTCCTAGATGAGCATTGTTTCTTTTTGTAATTGGACATTATCATATATTGCTATTTTTATATTTAAAAATAGAGAAGAGAAGAGAATGTCTTCCTCTGTGATTAAGTATCGGGTTGCCAAAGGGCAAAGCCTGTTATTGTTAATGTGATCTTCTCAATATTGATTCACAGCCAATACAAAGAGATGCAAAAGGAAATTCATTTTCTTGAACATATTCACTTCTTTAGCCCTTGAGAGTTCCAAACCCTGAAAATAAAATTACTTCAGAGCTCTCCATTACTATTCAACTGTTGTTTATTCTGGAGTTACTGTTTTATAAATGCAAATGACTAAATGATGACACATTTTTTTTTTTTTAAGAGACAGAATCTTATTTTATCACCCTCAGTAGAGTGCTGTGGCATCACACTGCTCACAGCAACCTGCAACTCCTGGACTTAGGCAATACTCCTGCCTCAGCCTCCCGAGTAGCTGGGACTATAGGTCCCACCCACTGAGCTACAGGCGCCACCCAGATGACAAAATTTTTTAAATAGAAGGCAAGTTTATCACCTGAAATACCTCTTACTGCTGTTCTAAGTTGGCTATGTACAAATATTAACCTCAAGGGCAGCTCCTGTTTCTCAGTGGGTAGGGCACAGGCTTCATATACCAAGAGTGGCAGTTCAAACCCAGCCCTAGCCAAACTGCAACAAAAAAATAGCTGGGCGTCGTGGTGGTCGCCTGTGGTGCCAGCTACTCGGGAGGCTGAAGCAAGAGAATCAACTAAGCCCAGGAATTGGAGGTTGCTGTGAGCTGTGACACCACAGCACTCTATGAAGGGCAATAAAGTAAGACTCTGTCTCTTAAAAAAAAAAAAAAAAAAGAACAAATATTAACCTCTGTCTGAGAAATAATACACAGGAAAATTTGCAAAAGGAAGAACTTTTACCAATCAAAAATTTGTTACACTTTATGGAATCTGGCATGCCACTTAAAGCAAAACATAAAAAAAGGTTTTCTGAGGGGGGGAGGAGGGAATATAGAGTTTTGTTCTATTGCCCCAAGTAGAGTGCAGTGATGTCACCCTAGGTTACAGCAACCTCAAACTCTTGGGTTCAAGGGATCCTGCTGCCTCAGCCTTCTGAGTATCTGGGACTACAGGCTCCCACCACAGTGCCTAGCTAATTTTTCTGTTTTTAGTAAAGAGCGGGGTCTTACTCCTGCTCAGGTTGGTTTTGAACTCCTGAGCTCAAGTGATCATCCTGTATTGCCCTGCCAGAGTGTTAGGATTATGGGCATGAGCTACCATGCCTGGCCCACAAAAAATAATTTTTAAAGGTGCAGCTGTCAAGTATATATAATATTTGCTTTTCCCCATCATAAATATCATAATGATTATTATGCTCTAGTTTATTTGTAGCTTTTACTTTTGACAGGCGTTCTTTTGATTACCACAAGATAGTTCTTTTGAGTTACAGTTAGTGTCTCTTTGGAGACTTTTCTCTCATACAGCAGATTTTTTTCGTTCGTGTTTTTTTTTTTTTTTTAATCTAAGGCCAGATAGACAGTATAAGAGTGTTGTATCCTTGCTGTAAATTAGAACCTTTTTTTTTTTTTTTTGAGACAAAGTCTCACTATGTCCCTCTTAGTAGAGTGCTATAGTGTCATAGCTCACAGCAACCTCCAACTCTTGGGCTTAAGCGATTCTCTTGCCTCAGCCTCCCAAGTAGCTGGGACTATAGGCACCTGCCATAATGCCTGGCTGTTTTTTGGTTGTAGTTGTCATTGGTTAGCAGGCCCCAGCCAAGCTCAAACCCGCCAGCCTCAGTGTATGTGACCAGCACCCTACTCACAGAGCTACAGGCACCGGGCCAATTAAGAACATGTTACACAAAGGCATCCAGAATTTTTGTTTTAAAGCTTTAACGTAATGGGAAAAGAATAAGATTACTAACATAAGATGGTGGTAGGTGTTAAGACACAAAATAGTCTTTTCTTTAGCTATAACTTTTACATGCAATACTAATCTACCATACTATGAAGGCTTTGAAAGTACTGTAGTCAGTGCTTGAAATAATGGCCTCATACATTTTCTAATGCAGTATCTACAAGGTCTGACAATTAAGTTTGCAAAATCATCCTAGAAAAACATGCTACATAGCTCATTGCTGAATATCACCATGGTCATCTTCTAAGTACTACCCTTGGGAAGCTATGCACTGACACCGGGGCCTACTCCATGCTTCAGAACTCTTTTTCTGCAGTGACCGTGAGAGCTGTCATCGAACAGCTCGCAAAAACACACAGCAATAGTATTGAATGCCACTCAGCGAGATACTGACCAACACACATCAACATGAACACAGCTGTGAGTCAAGGTTATGAAACCTTACTGAGTAGTTTGTATAGTGCTGCCAATGTGGGCGCACAGTAGCAAGTTTGCAAACTTAGTTGTCAGTGGTCATTCCAGAAAAAGAGTTCCAAAATTGCTTTGAAAGGTGGGCTAGGCACTGGCACCAATGCATAGGTTCCCAAGGAGAGTCATTGAAATGTGATTGTAGTGATATTCAGCAATGAGGTATGTAGCACTTCTCTAGGATGAGTTCACAAACTTAACTGTCAGACCTTCATAGGTCCTAGATAACCTAGAGTCATCTCATCTAGCTAAGGAAGGCATAATCACTCTGAGCTTCACACTTCTGAAAAAGCTTACATTTTCTACAAATATACTAATTATGCTTAACTTTCGATCTTTACCACATAGTGCCACACATCAAAAGATAAGGCCCCGCCACCACCAGTGGGTTTCAGCGATGGTTGTCTCATTCATGCAAGGACGGTACATAAGTAGTGCCATGCCTAACCCATAGAAGAGGTTTATATCTATCATAGCTAATGGATACCTTCTTCCAGTGTTAGAGTTTGAGTTTGTCACAGAACCCTGGTTGTAGAAGTCTGATAGACTATTCCACTTAACATAAATTCCTCCTAATTTTATTGGGAGTCAGAATTATGTTTAAAATAATTTTTAAGTCAGTCTAAGCCATTTTCCAGCTAATTTTAAACTTTTCTATTTGAAGTTTATTTTAACTGATTTTCTGGCCAAAGAAAAAGCTATGATTTTATAGCACTAATTTTTCTTTTAATTTTGGGATTCCATCCTCTTCAACCTTGTCTCTAAAGGTAAAGAATTGGATTTCATTGAGTTTTTTGTCCTTGCAATGGTAATGGATTTTAATACAAAGAAAAAGAATTTCATAATTACCTCTGTAAGTAGACCATCCAAGAAATTGTAACAAACTGGTCAACATAAGGAACTAGGCCTGCCATAGTGATAACATACATGTGATGCCTGTCCTGTCTATGAAAAAAAAGGTCAACTTAAGGAGGTGGTCAATATAGGGAGGTAGTCAACTGTGGGGGGATTCTGCTATATATTGGTCCTAGAGTATGACAAACAATAGGAAAAATTTTGTGCTATTTTATGTTTATTGATTATTAACATAATGAATTTGAGCTATAACTTGGGAGGCGGAGGCAGGAGAATCACTTGAGTCCAGGAGTTGGAGGTTGCTGTGAGCTGTGATGCTATAGCACTCTACCCAGGGTAACAGCCTGAGGTTCTGTCTTTAAAAAAAAAAAAAAAAGAATTCGAGCTACAAGTAGGCATGCAAAAATATTTTATGCTAATTTGTTATTTTAGGTTGTCTTGTCAACTATAATCCAATATATTGCAAAATAAACCTAGCAGCAGTAATACTGAATAAAGAATTATATGTGTATGTTCACCCACAATGTGATTATCATTTTACAAGCATAGGGAGCAAATTTATTTTTTAAATATAAAATCCAAACTGGAAAAATAGTTCTTATGTCTAAAAAATAGAATATCTTTTGATTTTTAGGTAGCAGTGATGGTTCTGAACTAAGTGAAGAGACCTCATGGCCTGCTTTTGAAAGGTAAGAAAAATTGTCTACTTGAACTATTTTGAGTTTGTCTGTCTTAAAGTATATAATATCATGAATTTTAGGAGATAGTGTTTATTATACCCCTATGGGACTACTTAAGCTTTCTGCTGGTAGAAGAAATTAGAAATTGATATTTAAGTTTGGAATTGTCAGTAGTGAGAATGAGTGACCGATAGAGTCAAAGCTGTAAATAATTTACTTGCTGGCATTATACATGTATTCAAATTGTAGTACATTTAAAATTGTAATTAAAAATAATGCATCATAGTCAAGTTACATAATTATGTATTCAAACGTAAAATTATTTTCTTAAATTCTGGTTCATTTAAGTTATTTTATGGCATTTAGTGGAATGGTCAACTTTATTCTCTACCACTTTATCAAGGACAAAATGACTTAATTGATTTTTTTTTTAATTGTTGGGGATTCATTGAGGGTACAAAGAACCAAGTTACACTGATTGCATTTGTTAGGTAAAATTGTGTCCCACCCTCAAAAGGTGTGTCACACACCTTAACTAGGTCATTAATTGTCTTCATATCAGAATTGAGTACATAGGTTTCTTGCCTCTCCATTCTTGTGATGCTTTACTAAGAAGAATGTGTTCCACTTCCATACAGGTTAATACAAAAGATGTAAAGTCTCCATCTTTTCTAATAGCTGAATGGTATTTCATGGTTTACATATATCATAGCTTGTTAATTCCTTCCTGAGTTGGTGGGCATTTAGGCTGTTTCCACATTTTGGCAATTATAAATTGAGCTGCAATAAACAATTTAGTGCAAGTGTCCTCATGGTAAAAGGATTTTTTTCTTCTGGATAGATGTCCAGTAATGGGATTGCAGGATCAAATAGAAGGTCTAGTTTGAGTTCTTTTGAAAGTTCTCTACAATTCCTTCAAGAAAAGTTGTACTAGTTTGCAGTCCCACCAGCAATGTAAAAGTGTTCCTTTCTCTCCACATCCATGCCAGCATCTGCAGTTTGAGATTTTGTGATGTGGGCCGTTCTCACTGGGGTTAGATGATATCTCAGAGTGGTTTTGATTTGCGTTTCTCTAATAATTAGGGATGATGAGCATTTTTTCTTATGTTTGTTAGCCATTCGTTGTCTTCTTTAGAAAAGGTTCCGTTCATCTCTCTTGCCCATTGATAAAGGATTTTTGACTTTTATCATACTGACTAATTTGAGTTCTCTATAGATCCTAGTTATCAAGCTTTTGTCTGATTCAAAATATGCAAATATCCTTTCCCATTGTGTAAGTTGTCTATTTCCTTTGGTGGTTGTCTCCTTGGCTGTACAGAAGCTTTTCAGTTTAATTATATCACATTTGTTTATTTTTGTTGATGTTGCAATTGCCACGGGAGTCTTCTTCATAAAGTCTTTCTCCAGGCCAATATCTTCCATTGTTTTTCCCATGCTTTCTTTGAGAAAAGAAAGAAATGCCTTACATTTACAACTTTTATCCATCTTGAATCAATTTTTGTGAGTGGAGAAAGATGTGGGTCCAGTTTCAGTCTTTACATGTGGATATCCAGTTCTCCCAGTACCATTTATTGAATAGGGATTCTTTTCCTCAGTGTATGTTCTTGTTTGGTTTATAGATTAGGAGGCTGTAAGTTATTAGTTTCATTTCCTCGTTTTCTTTTTTTTTGAGACAGACGCATTATGTGGCCCTCAATAGAGTGCTATGGCGTCACAGCCCACAGCAACCTCAAACTCCTGGGCTTAAGTGATTCTCTTGCCTCAGTCTTCCAAGTAGCTGGGACTACAGGTACCCACCACAACACTTGGCTCTTTTTTTTTAGAGACAGAATCTCACTTTGTTGCCCTTAATAAAGTGCAATGGCATCCAGCTCACAGCAACCTCCAGTTCTTGGGTTTAGGTGATTCTCTTGCCTAAGGCTCCCAAGTAGCTAGGACTATAGGCACCTGCCATAACACCCAGCTATTTTTTTGTTGTTGTTGCAGTTTGGCCGGAGCCAGGTTCGAACCTTCACCCTTGGTATATGGGGCCAGCTCCCTACTCACTGAGCCACAGGCACCGCCCAACACCTGGCTATTTTTTGTTGCAGTTGTCATTGTTGTTTAGCTGGCCCAGGCCAGATTCGAACTGGCCAGTGTCATGTATGTGGCTGGCGCCATAACCACTGTGCTACAGGCACCAAGCCCATTTCCTGATTTTCTATTCAATTCCAGATGCTATGTCTCTATTTTTGTGCCAATACCATGCTGTTTTGACCACTATGGCCTTGTAGTACAGCCTAAAGTCTGGTAGGCTGATGCCCCCGGTTTTGTTTTTATTACTAAGAACTGCCTTAGCTAAATAAGGTTTTTTCTGGTTCCATACAAAACGAAGAATTATTTTTTCCGAGTCTTGAAAATACAATGTTGGTATTTTAATAGGGACTTAATAGATTTTTAAATTATACTGTAAGTAAAGCAGCTTGAAATTTGAATTTAAATTGTTAAGAACTCAAAACTTACACAAGGTACACAGACTTAATGAAATAGTACAAATTGTGCTCCCTTCTTCTTTTCTTTGTTGCTTTAAGATATAAAAGCCATCATCTGTCTATAGCAAATAGCATACTGTATTCAGATACCTATGAGATCTCCCTAAGAACATAGCCAAACAATACAAATGATATTTACTAATTGTTTGTTAGGATTCTTATATTACCTCTCATCATTTCAGTTCTGCCATGTTTAAACTCATAAGATATTTGACTTTTGAATAAAATAATTGCTCCCTTTTGTATATAAACTAAGCAACTAAGTTTCTAAATAATGCCTATATTACTCAATATAAAGGTTGTGTAGGTTAAATGTTGAATGTCATGTTAAAACTGGAGTTGAAAATACTAAGATTTTATTTCTAAGGCCTACATTTCAAAGTACTTTTAACCCTTTCTACTCTAATTATCAGTGTTCCCAAGTTTTGTTCTCTTTGTTTTCAGGGATTTTTAACAATTTGTTTTTATATATTATTTCTCTTTCAACTTTTACTTTTAATCTCTTTATTTGGGTTTGCTTCAAATGGGAAAAATACAAGTGTTACTTCTGACATGCTTCTAAATTTGTACAAATTTTCTTTCCCAATAGAAGGATCATAATACCATCACACTTTGATTATAGAGTATGGTTATGATCTTTACATAAAAAACATTAACAATATTGTTTCTTTGATTGATTGAGTAACCAGAATGATAATTGTGCTGAATAATCTGTTCTCATCCCTGCAGGTTACTTATAAAGAAAGTATATTTTTCTTTTTCTTTCTTTCAGCATAAGTATCAAGCAATGAAGATACTATATAATGGTGTTACCTTCACATTTCAAACAATATTTTTCTTTTATGACAAATGTTTTGCTTTGCAGACATTTTCAGCTAAACAATCTACGTATGTCAAGTTTAAATCAGTGGCTCTCAGAGCATTTCAGGAAGAGTTAAATGAATGCTGCCTAGCAAGATTCAAACATGTATTAATAATTAATAATAAAAAGTGAATAAAGAATTAGGATATAACTACTCGTGAATAGGGAACTTCAAAATAATACTGTGACTGTTAATTTGCCATTTACCATTCTTCCTATAGAGAAATCAAATACATTGTTGCTTAAGTTGCTAAAGTATTAATATTAATAATGTTAAAAAATTAAAAATTAATAATATTAAAAAATATATATTATTTCTCAACTGCTACTTTTGCTGGATGCAGTAGCTGATGCCTATATATAATCTTAGCACTCTGGGAGGCCAAGGTGGGTGGATTGTGGAGCTCAGGAGTTCAAGACCAGCCTGAGCCATAGTAAGAACCATCTCTTAAAAGAAGAAAAAAAAAAATCAGCTGGGTATTGTGGTGGACACCTGTAGTCCCAGCTGCTTGGAAGGCTAAGGCAACAGAATCATTTAGCCTAAGAGTTTGAGGTTGCTGTGAGCTATGACGCTACAGCACTCTACCCAGGATGACAAAGAGAGACTCTGTCTCAAAACAAACAAACAAAAAATGCTAATTTTGACTTTTCCCAAGCAAAAAAGCATTAGTGTTTTTATGTGTCTTATGTTTATTGCTTTTGCTAAGTATAATATGCCATTTTGGATACATATATTAACTCAAACCATTTTTTATCATTTATTGGCTTTTTCAGTTGATATAGAAATAATATACATATATTATTCAGTTCATCTCTTTTATTAGTTTTCTTTGATTAATATAACAAAGAGGAAAATAAGGTTTTCCTCATGAGTTTTAAGTTTACAAGCCACATTGCTTTTAGGTGTCTTCACAGGGACATATTATAAAAATGAATTTTTCATATAAATTCAGGCATCATATTCAAACTGTAATCCAAGAAGTAAAATAGAAAGGATTTTTGAAATATTTTTCAGGTTTTAATTTATTCGGCTATAAGTAGCTCTTTAATTCTTTTAGTAGATTTGTTGAAGTAAATGTATATGTAAGGATATGGTATGTACTAAACTCCTATATTTATTTTTAGAGTCAATAGTAAAAGAAAAAAATTTTGAAATCTATGCTGCATGCTTTAAAAAAGAAAGAACACTGTCCTTCTGTTAGATTTAGAAAGCTATATTACATGAAGAAACTATTATACTGTTATAGGTATTAATGATTGTGTGAATAAAAATATATGTAATATATACAATTTATAATGGAATCCAACAGGAACAGATTATACCATTCTCTCGGCCCGGTGACAAGAGTGGCACGAAATGGCTATCGAAGCCACATGAAGGCCAGCAGGTACAATTCCCCTGCATTCAGGGGTCACAGAACTCCCTCTGGTGTTGGTGATTGGCTTACATGGGTGTGATCTCACATTATTTCTGTTCTTTCTCAACTAATTGATTTAAAAACTAAACAGATTGCCCAGAAAAACTTTCTTTCCAAGATTTAGTGTGGAAAAGAATTTGAACTATACTTTCTGATCCATAGAGCTAAATGCTGACTTGCATCTTTGTCACATTTTTTAAATGCTTCCTAGTTGGTATCCTTTTAACACAGGTGTTTCTTTCTAATGCTGCTAGTTTTTGAATGAGCAACGTAAAAATCTGCTTGTTATTCATAAACTGCAATCAAAGCCTTTACTTTGCTAATAAATCGACATTTGATTTGTCTGTTCTAAAGTTTTTCAGATAAACCACAGGTCCTAAATTTAGACAAGTCTGTTTCATTAAGTAATATTTGTATATTTAAACTCATATTCATTAAATCGGTCATCTGGTTAAGTTTGGTCTCTTTCCACATTCTACTGCGTATAAACTATGGAGGCAGATAAAGATGGTACCTAGAGGTCATGGGGTCTAGTGGTAATTGGTGATCAAACAATTCATAACAACAAAATAACAAAGTTTAGAAGCAGACTTTATGTCAGTTTGATGGTGTCTAATCTCCTCCTTATTAAAATAGATTTTAATAATAGCTCTAGCATGAAATTTCTACTGGTTTTTAAGTCACTTTGAAGACACCTAAATAATCACAAAGGAATAAAGTAGCAACTTCAGGTTTTTTTGCTGTTGTACTAGTTCTGCAGCTCATGTTAAGTCACCAGGGAATGATAGTTTTATCAGTGTGTATGTTTAACTGGCATATATAAAAATCATTCTTTTAAATATTAAACCTAAAGTTAGTTGGGAAAAGATATTAAAATATTGGTTGTTTTATGATGCTTTTTAAAGATACATGAAAAGTAAATCTTGAGTTTGAGGGTTATTCTCAACTCGGAGAGTTGTTTGGCTATAATCAAATAGTTATGCATTGGCAGTGTTTAAATGCATTAAGATTTATTGCATTAAGTTTTTTAACTATGTTATTGCCTTTATTACTTCTTTTTGCTATTTTAGAATTAAGCATGGATTTTCTCTTCTTTTCCTTTTTGAGCTTCTGCTATTTTTATTCTCAGTTTTATAGACTTAAATACTTTTAACAAATAGAATCCTCATTTTTCCTACCAGGACTTAAAGCTTTTAATGGGGAAAATAAGATTACAGCAGTGATGCAGTGTGGCATGTTAAGAAGAAAAAAATCTTAAGTTTTTAATTTAATCTTTATAGAAGTGAATTATTGCATTCTTTCTAAATTATACTTGTTCAAATGTCATGAAGTGTGTGTTTTTAACCATCTGCTGACTTTAATAACTTCTAATTAACTTCTGTGACAGCTTATAAATTTCAGATTAATAAACCTTTAAAGTTGTCAATATCTTCTCAGCTTTGAATAAAGTAACAGAGTTTTTAAAAATTAAGAATAATTATTTTATTTAAGAACCTACTTGATGCCTGCCATAGACAAAAGCCCTTAAGTGTCCCTTTCTTCATTTTATTGTTACAGTTCTGCAGAATCAGAAGATTTGGCAGTACATTTATATCCAGGAGCTGTTACTATTCAAGGTGTTCTCAGGAGAAAAACTTTGTTAAAAGAAGGCAAAAAACCTACAGTAAGATTTCATTATATTGTATTTTAATATACCTCTTAAAATATGCAACTGTATAAGACCTCAAAAAATAACTAAGATAATTGAAATAAAACCAGATATTAGTAGACTCAAAATAATTTAAAATAAATTATTCTCGGGCAATATGTATGTGTGCTAAGATCCCCAGCGGAGGCCTGAAACGGCAGGCAGTGCCAGAGCCATTTCTGCCTTCCACCCCAAAAGGAATGTCTTTTCCATCTTAACTAAGCACTTACCACGCACCAGCCTTAACTTTTGCAGTTTGAGGTGCGATAGCAGAACTGGCATGAATTTCTTTCCTCCTTCACAGTTTCTCCGGTAGCAGATTTATTCTTACTGTTGGTCTTAGCAACCTCAGCATATGACTTTTCTTAATGACGTCTACAATTTTTATCCTTTCACTTCAAGGAAGCACTTGACAGCTTTTCTTCGGCATATTGGAGTTGTCAGTATCACTTTTATTGCTCTTTGGGGCCATTATTAAGTAAAACAACAGTTATTTGAACACAAGCACCCAAAAATACCCTAACAGTCAGTCTGATAGTGAAATTGCTACATAGTAACTAATGGGTAGGTGGCCCAGACAGTGTAGAGATACTGGACAAAGGAAAATTTACATCCAGGCTAGACAGATCAGTGTTGTGTAGAGAAATTTCATCAGGCTACTTGAGATGATGTGCAACTTAAAACTTATGAATTACTTATTTCTGGAATTTTCCATTTAATATATTCATACCATGAATGCTATGGATAATTAAAACGATAGAAAGTGATACCAAGGAAGGGGAGGGTTAGTGTACACATTGGTTTCTTAATTTTTTTTTTTTTTTGAGACAGAGTCTCACTTTTTTATCCTCCATAGAATGCAGTGGCATCATAGCTCACAGCAACTTCAAATTCCTAGGCTAAAGCAATCCTCCTGCCTCAGTCTTCCAGGTAGCTGGGACTACAGGTGCCCGCCATAACACCCGGCTATTTATTTTTAGAGACTGGTTCAGGCTGATCTCAAACTCCTGAGCTCAGGCATCCACCCACCTCAACCTCCTAGAGTACTAGGATTACAGATGTGAGTCACTAAATGTGAATTAAGAGTGCTTAAATCAAGATACTCCTATACTTTTCTTACTGCCTGTTATAGTTCTTACACAAAACTGTTTCGTAGAGACCTCTGAAAGTATATCACTCAGAAATATTTTAGTAATAAATTTAGAAAAAATAGACAGTAATAACCCTAAAAATGGAATTCAACTATTTTTGGTTCATCTGCTTATTTAAATCTTTGTAATACAGTTTTGCTTCCCCATGTAAAATAGAACCTAAATATTAAATATCTTCCAAAACATGATTATCAACGTGTCAGAGAAAACAAAATGCTAGGTAGAATAACACTTTTAATATATAACAAACAAAGAAGCTTGTTTTCCCCAACACCAGCATAATGCTTTGACTACTAAAGAAAGATTTTTTTCTTTTCTCAAATTTGAAGTATAAAGCCTTTGATTTATATTCACATTTAAAGCTTTTGAAGGTGTAAGAGCTTCTTAAAATATAGAAATGTTTTCCATCTGAGTGATCTTATTTTGTTGCTTATTACAATAAACCAAAGGCACATTCAATCAAGAAGCGACCTTAGGCCAGCTGGCAAACTAAGAATGGCATGTCACTTGAGACATTACCATACCTACTGTGTGTCAGATGCTAGTAATAGAGCAGTGAACCAGATGAGGCATAGTGCCTACCTCATGGAGATTACATAAGTTCTTAAAATAAGGTCACAGGATGCAGAATGGTGGAGAGGCTGCCCACCATTGCAAGACATTTGAGCTGTGATCTGAGTGAGGAAGCTAAGGCAGTCTTATGAAGATCAAGAGTTCCAGAGACTTCTCCAGAAGGCTTGTGTGGTTGAAGCACTGAAATTAAGAGCAGGGGGTGGGGGGAGAGGAGATCAGAGACAAAAGCCAGGGTTGTTGGATGATACAATAAAAGTGGTATATAAGAGAAAAGTGGAAATAAAGATGACTTTTAGGTTTGGAGACTGAGCTGGGGGGATGCTGAGGACGTTTATTGAAATGGGGAGGGCAGGTAAGTTGGCTGAGTTCAGTTTGATATGCTTATAAACATTCAAGTGGAGATAACAGTTTAACTCTTTAAAAATTTTAAGAGTTCAACAGAGAGGTAGTATCCAGAGATAGAGATGTAGAGAGTCTTTAGCATACAATAGTATTTGAAGTATGGAACTAGTTGAGATAGATTATCTCATATGAAAAAAGTATATCTAGGGAAGAAAAAAAGGGCTGTAAATAGAGCTCTAGAGCATTAAAGTTCTCCTATAATAAGAGTGCAGAGGAAACTAAGGAACTGGTATTCCAGAAGCCTAGTAGTTAAAATACTTAAAGAAGAAAGGAGTGATCAGCTGGGTCACATCCTGCTAGGAGGCTTTGGTAAAATTACAGTTCTCAGGCTCGGTGCCTGTAGCTCAAGCGGCTAAGGCGCCAGCCACATACACCAGAGCTGGCAGGTTCAAATCCAGCCCAGGGCCTGCCAACAACAGTGACAACTACAGCCAAAAAATACCTGGGCATTGTGGCAGGCACCTGTAGTCTCAGCTACTTGGGAGGCTGAGGCAAGGGAATCGCTTAAGCCATGAGTTGGGAGTTGTTGTGAGCTGTGATGCCACAGCACTCTACCCAAGGCGACAGCTTTAGGCTCTGTCTCAAAAAAAAAAAAAAGTTACAGTTCTCAGTGACCTTGTTGACTGTGGTTTCAGCCTGAAAGCCAAATGAAATAAAGAGAGTAGAAAATGGGCAAAACAGAAGTACAGGCAAGAATTAGAGACAACCTTGCAAGAAGTTAGATTATGAAAAGGAGCAGCGAAATTGGATGGTATCTGAGGGGTGAGGGGATAGGCAAAGGAGGGATTTTAATGCTGAGAGTATTATTAAAGCCCATTTGTATGATAATGGTAGAGGGAGAGAAACTGAGAGGCAGTGGAGAGAAGAGTTAACTGCAACAGCAAATTTCTTGAGAATATGAGACATAATAGGTATCTAGGGCATAAAAGGAGAGTTGAATATGTCTTTTTTTTATTAAATATAGGTGTGCACATCAGTGAAATTATGGGGTACAACGTGCTGGTTTTATATACAGTTTGAAATATTTTCATCAAACTGGTTAACATAGCTTTCACCACATTTTCTTAGTTATTGTGTTAAGACATTTATATTCTACACTTAGTAGATTTAACATGTACCCTTGTAAAATGCACCATAGATATGGTCCCACCCATAGGGTGGCACCTGTGGCTCAGGGAGTAGGGTGGCAGGTTCAAACCTGGCCTCGGCCAAAACTGCAACAATAACAACAACAACAAAAAAAACGGAGCAGTGGATAACTAATGAATATGTCTTTTGATGGAATCAGGGTTAACTATTCTGTCGGTACAGGAAGAAAGGCTTTGTATTTGAGTCTACAAACAGGTAGTTAGCTGGAGTTGTTTCTGGGAAGATGAGGTAGTTTTTACCAGATTTCATCTGCTTTTCTATAGGAAGTATGCAGTGACATCATGGGCGGGGGGAAATATTAAAATTTTGAGAAGAAAGTATGAAGTAATGATCTCCAGAGAGAAAAGGGGTGTGTGTGTATAATGACATGATTGGGTAAAAGGAAAGTACTATTAATTTCCATTTGAGATTGCTGACCGTAATTTTATCAGTTGGCACAATTGTGTGATTTCTCCAGCAATATTCAGCTCTTGTGATGTGGTGCTAAGTAATCAGATGACTAGATTGACTAGGGTTAGGGTTCTAACAGTAGAGAAAGGCAATGGAATTAAAGTATTTGGAAGGGAATGGATATAGTTCTGGACTGCGGAATATAGACTAACATACGGATATCAAGAGAGAAGTGGGGCGATAGAATATTGGAGAGGGGTAGCAATACTAGACAATATTGAAAGTGTATCAGATTCTTGATGAGATTATCCAAATAATTATCTGAATGAGAATAGCACAGACTATTAGCTGGAAGTGATAAAAATATTTGAGATGAAGATTTCAGAAATGATGTGACTCAACTCTAAGGTTAGGCCTTGGGTGGCTGAAGTAAAATGGAGTGGACCATTGGTGCTAAGAATGTAGAAAAACTGAGAAGCCATGTTAACAGTTACAAAGCCAATAGCATTGAACTGTATATTCATGTTTTTATCCTCTCCAGGTAGCCTCTTGGACAAAATATTGGGCAGCTTTGTGTGGGACACAACTTTTTTACTATGCTGCTAAATCTCTAAAGGCTACGGAAAGAAAACATGTAAGTACAACTTCTTTAAATTGTTAGCATAGTTTTGTAGCTTTTTTGTGGTTGTAAAGAAAGTAGGGTTTTTGTTTTGTTTTGTTTTGGAGACAGAGTCTCTTATTACTGCCCAGGCTCAAGTGCAGTGGTGTGACCCTAGATCAACTATGTAATCTCAATCTCCAGGGCTCAAGAGACCCTCCCTCCTCAGCCTCCTGAGTAGCTAGAACTACCAGCCTCCACCACCATGCCTGGCTAAGATGCAAAGGTTTTTTACTTTATGTTTTTTTCCCCATCTCCTAATCCAGGAGGATTGTATACTTTCTCCTTGTGTAAATGCTATAGTCAAATTATTTATTTAGTAAGACCAGACCAAAGAAGGTCTTTGGAATAACTTCCAAAAGTTTAAGTTCCTTTTTAGAATACTATTTTTTTTTCCATTGCAAATGCCAAAACTACACATTACAGATATCTTTCTTGGCATCAAAGTTTTCTCAAATCTGGGTTTATGGTTCACACATGGTTTAAAACTACTGCCTTAGAGTTTCAGTTCCTAATCAGCAAAATGTGAAAATTTGGGACATCTAAAGTTCTTACTACTTCAATCTCTGATTCAGTGATTTTTCCCAACAGTGAAAAGGAATGAGTGATCAAAGTAGCTACTACTATCCACTTTTCTTACGCTTTTTACTTAAAAAAGGTGTCTTGATGCTATAGGATCACCATGTAGAATATTCCTGTAAATCTGTTTTGCAGGTTGTTTTGTTTTTATATGCCAATTATACAACCAGTCTGTGAAAGGAAGAATTTTTCATGTTGCATTAGTAAAATTTGTTTGAGAAAAATTTTATTTTTAAATCATGTATTTGGTGGGGAATTAAGTGGTAATCTAGTACAGGAAAATGTTCTTTCTCTACCTACAAATTACCCACATGATACTGTGTACATCAGAGAAACTCTTCTTTATTCCCACAATTTTAGCTCTTTTAATCAACCTGAAGCACAGTAATTGTGGTTTAAATGAATGAGGAGAGTACCCTCAGGCAGCAGTGCCTTCCTTAGCAGCCTACCCACAGCCTGCCTCTGTCCTGAGCTCTGTCTTACGCATTATCTTGCTTTTCTAGTGTGTGACCATATGCTTCCCCCAATAATAATAATAATATGTGTCGTTTTGAACTGTACCTAAGTGGAATTATGTATATCCATTCTTAAGTACTCCTGTGTTTCTCACTATCTTGTTGAATCTGTTTAGATAGCGCTTGCATTAAGGTAAAGGACTGAGTGTATGATCATGGAGATCTTTCTCCATGGATATTTATTTTTTGTTTTGTGGTTGAGTTGACTGTAATGCCCATACATGCTACATGATTAGATTTACTGGAACATTTGCAGAGTTATCAACTCTAGTTAGTACTACCATACTCAGGTGGGGAAGGTTGATATAGTTAAATCCTTTGTCTTCAGATACAGAGCCACTTTACATCTTTTGTATTAACCTGGATGGAGTTGAAACACATTCTTCTTAGTAAACCATTACAAGAATGGAGAAGCAAGAAGCCAGTGTACTTAATTCTGATATGAGGACAATTGATGCTAGTACATAGTGGAAGGTTGGGGAATGGTGAGGTGGGAAGGAGGGGGGGTCACAGTGTGTGACTTACCTCTTACCTAACAAATGCAAGCAGTGTAACCTGGTTCTTTGTACCCTCAGTGATTCCCCAACAATTTAAAAAAAAAAAAATGAATCAATTGTAAGAATAGGATAGAGGGTATTCAGGTAACCTGTAGAAGTCATAATCTCATTAGGAGAAACTAAAAATATATATTCTCCAATACTTTAGCTTAGTATGAAGCATAAATTAATGTTTTCACTGATTATTTCTTTATCTCTCAGTTCAAATCCACATCAAATAAGAATGTATCTGTAGTAGGATGGATGGTGATGATGGCTGATGACCCAGAACATCCAGATCTCTTCCTCTTGACTGACTCTGAGAAAGGTGAATTATTAGAGTAACTAGAGATTAAGACACTTTAGCTGGAATACTCAACAAGGGAAGTATTTGTGTGGTTTATCTATTGAGGAATATCCTTATCACGTAATGTATTTTGATGATATCGGTATTTGTAGAGCTTATTTTCTTTGCTACACATGGGCATTAGCTTGGAAATTAAAAGGCCAATTAATCCCTAGAGTGCTGACCAGGAAGAGAGGGAGGGAAGGAGAGAATTAAAGAATCTAGAGAAGCCACACAATTTTTTTATTTATGTACTTCATGCTAAAGAACACCTAAAAGGAGGCAAATAAAATTATTTCTCCCAATTCATAAGCTGTGAAACAGTGACTTCCTGAATACACACATGTTAGCATGTGTGGGATCAGGAACTTTTATTATTATTGGGATGGAAAATCAAGTATTAAATGAATAGAATCTGAAACTGACACCCCTCGTCATGTTGAGTTCATTCTTTTGTATCTGGCAGAGTTAGAATGTGTCATAGTACTTAGACTTTTATCTTTCCCCCCTACTTTTTGGTAATTTTAGGAAATTCATACAAGTTTCAAGCTGGCAATAGAATGAATGCAATGCTGTGGTTTAAGCATTTAAGTGCAGCCTGCCAAAGTAACAAACAACAGGTAAGCATTTCTCTTAATTCTCACAGTAAGTCTGTCACTTGAGAATATATTTAAGAGTTCCAAAGAGAAGTAAACCAGTTCTGAATTAAGGGGAGTGGTGATGTATTTATTCTTTTTCTTGTTGACAACAGTCAGTACCACTTGAGGGTTCACATTTTAATGAGGAGCTAGACAGTAAACAAGTATATAAAATTTCAAGTAGTGAGAACTAGGTAAAGAAAACAAAATAGTATTATGTGATGGGAGGAGAGACAGCTTTAAATAAACAAGGGTGAGCAGCAAAAATCTCCCCAAGGAGGTGGTAACGGCATGAATGACAAGAAGAAATGGGCTATGAGAGGATTAGGGAGAGCAGAGGCTGGTGATGAGAACAGTGAGGGTGAGGACACTACAACTGGAACAAGGTGAAGGTGTTCAAAATAGAGGTAGCTAATGAGTGGTGGGATAGTGTAGTGAGACTACATCCCTACCCCTTCTATAGAAGGGGTGGTTAGATGGCACTTTTTTTTTTTTTAATGTATTGTTTTTTAGACAGAGTTTCACTATGTTGCCCTCGGTGGAATGCCATAGCATCACATCTCACAGCAACCTTAAACTCTTGGGCTTAAGCAATTCTCTTGCCTCAGCCTTCCAAGTAGTTGGAACAGGCACCTGCCACAATGCCTGGCTATTTTTGTTGTTGTTATAGTTGTCATTTTTGTTTAGCAGGCCCAGGCCAGGTTCAAGCCTGCCAGTCCCAATGTATCTGGCCAGCGCCCCAACCACTGAGCATAGGCGCCGAGCCAGATGGCACTTTAATGAAAATCATGCTGATTTACTTTTGTACGACCTATTGACAGCTTGATTTGGGGTTCTGTGGTCACAGTGGAACCAAAAACCATTTCTTTGGATTCTATTTTTAGTTTACTAAAACAAAGATGGACTAATTCAAAGTCTTTGACCTGCAGAGAAGCAATACATTGTGTTTTTTTCCCCAAACTCTGTTGCACAGTTAGAATTAAACCACAAATTGGTAGAGCAGTTGTAGAAATTTCTATAGACTTTTGTAGAACCTATTTCTAATTAAATCTATTTGAAAATTACTAACTTAGGGTATGGATAATACAAAAGTAAGTGGTTTTGTTTGTTTTTGCAACATATTTATAAATAGGACCTATGAAAAGAACACTCTGACTAAAATGCAAAATACCTTAAACCACATTCAGGCAACTAAGTAATTTTTTTTAAATAGACAGTAGAACGTCCATAGTTGACCAACTCCAGAAGTAGACCTAATTTTCCTACACCTGACCTGTACCATGCGTACATACCAGTACAGTAAGCCTAGTTCCTTATATTGACCACCTCATGTTGACTAGTTTGTTACGGTCTCTTGGTTGGTCAACTTACAGTCCCTTGGGTTTTAAGGATTAAGAGTACTTTCTTTTAACATGGGGAAAATCCTTGGGCTCAAGGATTGCATAAACGATAAAGAAAAGAAATACTGCTTTGAAAAACAACTTTTAAACTCAGTTTGTAATACTTATATTTTTTAGGTTCCTACAAACTTGATGACTTTTGAGTAAAAGCCTGAGGGAGGTCCTACTGTATATGAAAAACTAATAGCATTTGTTATGTTACAATTTTTAACAACCTCCATAAAGGACATGAAATGCCATAGAGCAAAATTATTTTCTTGCCTTGTCAAATTAGTATCTGGGGCAGAATGAAAGAAACAGACCATCTTTTGCCTAGGCTAAGTCTTTCAGGATCCACTTATATGCCGTATATTTTCTTTAAATGTAGCTTAAGGTATTAAGTCTCATTTTTTAAAAATCTCATATTCCAAGATTAATCTAGAAAGTATTTGCACATCAGCATAGAGGCTGAATTTCTTTTCCTGTATTACTGGGCATTCCTGCTGAATAAGTCAACCAGATGCCACATGTCTATAAATGGTTTTTGTTTATTTTTGTATTTATAAGAATTAATACTAGTAACATATTTATAAATAGGACCTATGAAATTTTTAAGTTTTTAGAAGAACACGCTGACTAAAATGCAAAATACCTTAAACCACATTCAGGCAACTTAGTAAGAAATTAAACTTTTACTTTATTAAAATACAGATTTATTATAATCAGACATGATAGTTTATAGTTAAGCACTTGAGCATTCTTTTTGTATTTGACTTATAATTCAATTATGATCATACTGTCCAACAGAATTTTTTCTTATTTTTTGAGATAGTGTCTCACTTTTTTTGCCCTCAGTAGAGTGCTGTGGCATCATAGCTCACAGCAACATGAAACTCTTGGGCTCAAGTGATCCTCTTGCCTCAGCCTACCAAGTAGCTAGGACTACAAGCACCGGCCACAGTCCTCAGCTATTTTTAGAGATGGGGGTCTCGCTCTTGCTCAGGCTGGTCTCAAACTCCTGAGCGCAAGCAATCAAGAATGCTGGAATTAGTATACATACGTGAGCCAGTGCCTGGCAGAAGTTTTTATTCAAAGGCTGAGGTGTATACGTTACTCATGTTGAGTATAACAGGTTTCAAAGAGAAAGATTGCTGAGGTGTGAGAGCTGTTAGGCTGTCATGAGGGACAAGGAAAGGCCACTGACATACGAGTATCTCTACGGGCAAAGCTTTGGAAACTGGTTTTAAGGGTTAAGAGTATTTTCTTTTAACATGAGGAAACACTTGTTAGTTCTTTAGAGAACTCATCAACAAATTTTAAAAAACAAATATTTCAGAGAATTATTAACTGAATTTCAGACTTAAAAGAACTCGAATGAAATATGATCCAGTCCATGAGTAGTGAACTGTTTCATAACCTATTGATTTCTCAGTCACAAAGTGTCAGAATTTATGTAATAATGTTTTATTCTTTTATGCATATTTTCATGATGATTTGACAAATTCTTAGTGTGTTTGTTATAAAACTGTGCAGGTTTTTTTAAATGTGCATGTAGGACATTTTCTAATATATATTATGAGAAGATAAATGATGACAAGCATGTTCGTCTCAAATCTCACGCTACTAGGGTCATTCATTTTTCATTCATTCATTCAGTAAACACCGACTGAGCCCCTTAAGTTAGACAAGAAAGTGTCTGTGCCCTTTCTCCTGTCCACATTCAGTTTGCTAGAAAAAGTAGTAGCTCATTTCTAAAATGTTCCAGCATATTGCATTCATTTTTCATGACTATTAAAGATTTCTTCTAAAAGATATTTAGGTAGGAAGATTTGGGATTGTGTAAATGATAAAGACAAGAAATACACTTTGAAAAACAACTTTTAAACTCAGTTTGTAATGCTTGTTTTTTTTAGGTTCCTACAAACTTGATGACTTTTGAGTAAAAGCCTGAGGGAGGAAAAAAAAAAAAGGTGAACTCCTGTGTGAAAACAGGGACCTAATAAAAGAGCGCCAGCTGTAAACCATCCTGTGCTAGGAGGACCCCAGAGGCTGTGTCTCAGCCTTTGGAGCTCTGAACCAAAAAAGCACTAATTTCAGGGAATGAAGCGAGATATTCCCAGAGAACAAATTGGAATTGCAAAACAAACTGCCATGAACCATGCTTCTTATCTCTGAACTGACCTGTGGAAGCCACTGCCTTAAAAGAGTGAAAGGAAAACCAACATGAAACACCAAATAGTGTGTGTGAATCTTCTGGCGGTGCTGTGCTTGGAATAGATTGTAGCTAATTTGCATTTCTTTTAACTTTGTACTAATTTTGAAGGGGGGAATCGCCTTTTTTTTAAGATATGCTTTAAAAAGGAAAAACCTATTTCTTAGGGATGACATCAGGAGCTGGTTTTCAACCAAGATGAGAGATACTTGGCAGGGATCGTACAGCAGCCCACCTGTGAGGTTTGCTCAGCCTCCAGTGGGCCGCAGCCTCCCTGGCTTTCTCCCAGCGAGAGTGTAGGAATTAGGAATGTTAATAATGTGAGTTGTTGGAGTTTGGTTGGAATTGGGCGGGGGGTGTTTTATTTTGGATGAGGGGAGATTTTTTTAAACACTAAACTTCTGAAATTTAGTACTGTATGGGGAACATGATTTCCTACAGGAGGTACAATGGCTGAGTGTTCATTTGCCAGACCCTTTTTTAGAAGTAGGCTCCAGAAAACATGGTTGTTTCTAACTGGGGTTAAAGTTTAGCTTTCTATATGATTTCATTGTTGGACCACAGATCTGCTTAGTAGAGGACTATAATCCCAGCCCAGACTTTTCTGAGAAGAATTGTCCAGTGATAAGATCTTTTTTCCAAGTTGATTGGATTATCCCTCATAATCACAGGTGGTTTTTATCATCCGGGTGATATGTTGGTATTTTGTCGGAATATTTTCTTTCACAGTGTTTAATGTGCATACTGCCAGAGTTATTTTTTTATTATTTGTTTTCTTTGTTTTTGTTCGGTATGAGATTGAGGATCATATTTCTTTAAAAGATTCCACATATAAATGTATGTATGTATTTTATTATTGTAAGATCTACAGAATAATTTTGAGAGGGATAAAGGTGAAAGTTTGAGATTCTGGGAATTTTAAATATCAAAACTTTATTCCTTATACAACTTACCGTAAAGATACCAAAACATTTTTCTGAAAACTTAACATAAGTTTCTGACGTGAAACTGTGTTTTGTCAGTAGTTGACCAAGCAGTTTTGTTAAAGCTCTTCTCTGCAATAATGCATTTAATTTCTAAAATAAATGTTGAATTTAAAAAAAGAAATTGAAGGTAAGATGCCTTAGAATTTTAACAAAATGACACTTGAACCAAGGCTAGTTGTTGGATGTTATAAACTCTTGAGGCATCATAAATTTTAGCAGCAGCAAAGTAATGAATGCTTTGTGACTAATACCTGCTAATAGACATCTGTTACTTTGGCCCTCTCATAAAATTTGTCACATTTGTATTTTTAGAGAATTTTATACTTTTTTTTAAATCCTAAGTATTTTACCCTTCAGTCCAAAAAACTTAAGTAGAAAATATTGCTGATATAATAACTAGCTAAAAGTCTATCCAAAGGAAAATAAAAGAGCTTTTTTGAGTGTTTAAGTTTTAAATTTAGTTTTCTGTTTGGAAAAGATGTTAAGAGTTCAGATATTTGCTTCTCATATGACAGTTAGAAATGCCATTATTTCTGGGTTTTAGTGACATAATCTGGAGAGGGCAGAAGTTGCCTGTGCTGAACGATTGTTCAATTCATGATCTCCTAAGCTTAACCCATGTTGGGTGCATAGAAAGACGCCATCCGCATAGCCAGCAGTATTACTACGTAGACCTTGCACATCTTATTTTTGTTTTACATTTTTTTAAAGTTTCTTTGTTTATTTCTCTTTAGAAATACCATTTTTGACAGTATATCTGCTTTTTAAAAGATACCATGACTGCGAACCCTGTGGATTTGTTTTTATTATTTTGTTTGTCATAAATAAGCTAAAGTAGATATGCTATAGGTTAACTGTTATCTGTGAAGATATGCAACTAGAAGTCAGAGCCTGACATCACAGTTTTGCCAAAGAGAGAGCAGTAGGCTGGACGATGTGTCTGATATTTGCAGCTCCAAACATCAGATGCTTGCCTAGAGTAAACAGTGTTCATCACGTTTGGCTGATAGTTCATAGGTAGAATTGTGGCCTCTGGCCAGATGTCTCCTCTAAAACAAAACCGTTCAGAAGCCATCATCATTTTTCTGTCTTTAATTTTGTCCTTTCAAAAGATTGGTCATTGCTTTTTTAAGATTATTTTAGCATTTGAAGCAAATTGAAACCAGTGAGAGAAGTGAATTAAAATAGTGTAGGTGAATTTTTGATCTACAGTTCACTAAGTGATATACGATAACAATTCAAACAAAATATATGTCACCAAAATATATTAAATAGGTAGTTCATGACTAGGAAGATGAATTTTCTTATTAAGCCTGTCATTTGGTTCTTCCCTAGCCAAGAAAACTCAATTTGAAATTTTCTTACTCTGGTTTATGATAAGCCTGACCCTGGGCACGTTATGTCGCCTAACGTCGTGGTCTAAAATACTAGCCAGTATCATTTGAGGCGTACATATCTCATTGAACAATTTGTTTGAACATAGGACCTTATTTTTCATATGGAACTAACATACTAGTTTTAAAAATACAATTATAAAGAAAACTACATGACCTTTCTAAGCACTATTTTTGATTTCGTTTCCCCTTTGTTCAGGCTGTGCTTGTTTTCTAAATATTGTTTTTACTGTAACCTCCAAACTATAAGAATTGGAAGACAACTAAGGGTTAAACACACCTTCCTATTTAATTTTCTTCACTCTGTAAATTTTGTGTAAACATTACAAAAAGGGATTCAGACCAGTTAAGTTCAAGTTTTGTTGTGTTTTTTTTTTTTTTTTCTGCCCAGACATGTGCTTCAATGACAGATGCTTTTCCTGGGAGAAAAATGCCATATAACTATTGCACTCCCTTTTACATGGACTGTGTTGCTATTGAGTCTTTGCCATGTATCAGGGTGTTTATAGCCGCAAAGTTTTTACAAGGGGCTTTATTCCTCTTCTAGAAGACTTATAAAGGAGCCCAAGAAGCACTATTGTTATGAAGGA